CTATAGGCAAAATACATCAAAAGTAAAAAATACACATTTTATTAAACCCACAGATCCACCTGTTAGACATCTATCTAACAAAAAGATATGTGTACAAGGATGCTTACTGTGGTACTACCTTGAAGAGGCAAAAAAATAGAAACAACAAAATGCCCACTACTAGAGTAATGGCTGAACAAACTGTGGTACATCCATACCATGGGATATTAATATTGTACAATCATTGAAATGGATGTTACATGTATATATAAGTTGGCTTGGAAGAATTTTCACAATCTATTGTTAGGTAAGAAAAGCAACATGCAGAGATCCCATTTTTATAATATAAATATATTGTTTAAATATAACAAAATTGTAACTATAAAATAAATGCTTATGTATATATACATATTTGCATATGATTATAGAGACATGGAGAAATGCAGAAAGGGTACACATGGCCAGGTTGTAATACTGCTACCTCAGGGAGGAGAGGGGTGAAAGAGACTCTCCAGTGACAGAGGAAATTAAACAAAAGAACAAAGCATCCTTGTATGAAGTTAACTAATTTACAGTTTTCTGTGTATACATCCTTAACAAAATCTATGAAAGTAATACCACTAAAATGTTAAAAGTTACTTAAGAATAGTGGCCTTTCAAGTGATAGGCTTATGCTTTTTCTTCCCTATGCATATAAACATCAACATATTGAACTCATCAACATAAACACCAACATAAAGAACCTCCACAAATAAGAAAAATATATACACTCAAACAGCATACANAAACAAAAAAAATTTATCGAATCACATAAGTGAAAGTCCAGAAATAGATCTCACTTCAGGTCCGATTTGATCCAGAGGTTCCAGATTGCATCAGGACTCCAATTTAGACTCCCTTTGGTTTCCTTGGTACTGCCTCAGTCTGGCTCCTTTATACTAGAAAAATGAGCTGGAGCAAGTTCAGAACATGCTTCTTCGTAGTACACTATCTCCAAGAAGGTGTCTCTTTCAATAGTTTCTAAAGAAGCTTCAGAAAACATCTCCTTATAGTCTGAGCTGGGTCAGGTGCCCACCCCTGAATCATTTACTATGGTGGTGAAAAGGGGGATTGCTTAAAGTTAACTGGGCCAATCTAGAAAGCTGAGGGTGTGATAGTGCCACCCAAACTACATGCACGATTATTTGCAGGGGTGGTGGGGTGAGAGAACGGAGTAGAAACTGGATGGGTAACAACAATGGAGAGAACGGAGTAGAAACTGGATGGGTAACCACGACATACATTAACAAGAACTTAAAGTGAGAAACACAAATATCCACTAAAATATAAAAGTGTTCAATCA